GTTACGGAAGGACGGGCCGGTGCCTGGGGGCGGGGGGGGGGGGGGGGGCTGGGGGCTGGAGAAGGAAATCGTGCTCGTGCCGTAGAATAGCAGCCACACGACGTGACACCAACACGTTAAGAGCTTGACGGGTAATTCAAAAGCACTTGGGACTCCACCCTACACTCAAAAACCTATATAATTCTCTGTGCGTTTCCTCGAACAAGAGGAAGCAAGACGCGAGGGTTGCCGACAAAACAAGACTGTCAAATTATTCAATGCGGTTGGGCGTTTTACAGTACACCTGATTTCTTCCAGTAAACCAATCCTAGAGGCACGCGAAAATTCAAGTGGGTTTACTTAAAAAAAAAAGGCTAAAACCGGTAAGATCGAGTGCGTCTGCTAAAACTCGGTCCAAGGTGGGTGGGTATAATACGCACACGTGCAAAAGCACACACACGCATTGCGCCTCCGTCTTAAACCTTACAAGTCACCCCTTCTGGCACATTGCGCCCAAAACGCCCACGTGAGCGCGCGTGCCTGCCTGCCTGCCTACCTTGCAGTCGTTTTGCTTGGCCTCGTTGGCGCGTCTCTCCAAGGGATGCTCGAAGGCGCTGTAGTCGCCGTGCTTCGTTCGCTCCTTAGCGCCGAACGCTCCCGCGACGAGCTCGCTGTTGATGTCATCTTCCTCCTCCTCGTCTTCCTGCGCGCGGGCGAAGGAGGAGGAGGAGGCACCCCCCCCTCCTCCTCCCCCTCCGCGTGCCCCCTGCGCCCTCTGGCTCGTGCTTGAGATCGCCACGGCCGATCTGGTCATCCTGTTCATGCACCGAGCCAACAGAACTTACTCAATGCGCGCGTAGTACCATACACAACGCAACGGACGTCTGCTAATACCACGCAAGTACAACGCGGTGTTAGTGTCCCCCCTGTGCTCCGTCCCTGCTTTGTAGGGATGCGAGGTCAACGGTCTAACGACTACGGCATGCACGGCTATGAGTTCATCCCCCCGCCCACACACCCATGTCGCCCCATTAATGGCAATGCGTTTACATGAGTACCCCCCCCCCCCCCCATGCCCCTGCTTTATTCGACAAAATTAATGTTGATCGCTGATTGGCGTGTAGATTACAGTACTGTACGTCTTCCTCTTGTCTCACCGGAGGAACTTCAATGTTGAGAAACTCTGCGCACTGTATGACGGTCGCCCGGCTATTGGAGAATTCCTCGTTGTAGAAATCGATCACATCTGCGGAGCAAGGCGGCGGGGTAGCGAGACGGCAACGACACAAAGATAAGGAGGCGGTCCGATTTGTTGCAGCTGAAATCTCTGTTCGGTCAAGGAAGTAGAGGGCGTTTCATACCAAAGCGAAAGGGAGAGAGACAAGCAGCCAAGCAGAGGTGCAGATACTGCTGGTACTCCTTTCGAGGGCGGGCGCGAATGTGTTGATAGATGTCTGTGCCAGCATCGACATGGCGCATACAGAACCCGGCTGGTCCGCAAATGATCAATATTCTGTCAAGATGTAGAGGCTCAAACTTTCACGAGAAATAAGAAAACAGGACTACGATACACAGCTACAGTAGCTCAGCAGTGGATCCTAGAAAAAACTATAAAAAACAATCTGTGCTCGACAGGCAGCTCAACGGCGGATCCTATCCGACACAAAATCTATATAATAACCTGTGCGCTCGATGATGGAAACAAAATAATAAATGGAGTCCGGACCCTACATTGAGCTTTGACACCTTTACAGAATTTATCGGGTCCTACTGCTGTCAACCACGGCTATGTATGTCATACTTGTACATGTATAGTCCGCCAGTTTTGCCAGACAACCAAGCCTTCATAAGTTGTACGGAAGCCCCCGGGTCGTAGTGGTGTCATTCTCAGCTACGTTATAAACCAATAGATGACATCAGCCAGCGTACTCACAACACCAAAACCAGACCATGAGCCATGAGCCATGATGCTTCCTCAAAGCAGGCAGTAGAGCCAGCCAAAACAAACGCAAGCTAGTCATAAAAGAACAAAAGCTTGCGGTCACCAAAGAAAACGACTCAAAAACAAATCGATTCTTACACCATCTCTCTACCTGTCCATGTATTTTCTCCACATCTCTTGCATCTACGATATCGTCACGATTCTCTCTCTAACTGTCAATTACTCTCTGTCACTTGCGGCTATGATTTTGTCTCGAAATATAATGGTACCATCTCAAACTGTCCACCATGTCTTCTTCTCTCTCGTCTCTTGCGCCTATGATGTCGTTTCGAATACCATCTCTCTCTACCTGTCTACCCTGTCTCCTTGTCTCGCGTCTCTTGCGCCTATCGAACACTTGTCTTAACTGCTCTCCATCATTCTCTGCCTCTTGCGTCAACTGCCCATCAAGCCTTCTCTCTCGCGCTTGCGTCTTCGACTCCCTCCTTACCTTCGTCAACACGACCATGGAAGTAGCGCTTTATCTCATCCGACGTCGCAAGCACCCTCCGAGATGCAACCTCGAGAACCCAATTCTTGATCACCGAATGATCCATCTCCGGCGTCGAAGGCGCCACTACGGGGGGAGGCGGCGGGGGCAACTCAGTACGGATGGGGATGGCTGCTTGGGCGGGGGCGGCGGCGGCGGTGGCAGCCGCATTGTTGCCCCCCCCTCCACCCTTCTTCTTGCCCTTCTTCTTTTTCGCCTTCTTGGGCATCATGTTGGTGCCGCGCGGCTTCTGCTGCTGCTGCTGCTGCTGCTGCTGCTGTAGTCGGTTTTCGCAGCCAAGATAAGAAGACACGAGTTACCGTGGTGAGTGGTCGGTTCGGCAGGAGGCGTTAGCAAACACGGGTGAGAGCTTGGGGGGGGGGTGATCGAGACGAACAGGGTGGTTGGTTTTGCGGGATAACTATACCCGATCAGCCGAAGGAAAAAAACACGAAAAAACAAATACGTCATGGGATATCGGATGCCCAAAGCACTAGAAAAAAATGCAACAAAAAAAACATGACAGCTGGTGTCCAACAAGATCTAGAATGTGCAGTCCTTGCCCGATATTCCCGATTCGGAGTGCCTTGACGGGGAAACAATGTTCCGGGGAAATACAAAACAGTGCCAACGTGGCAGGGTTTCCAGGGGGGGGACACGTTACCGTTGGAGGTTGCCTATATATTTTTTCTTTTTAATTGCACCGCTCAGCACTGAGCCGACCCAACGATAGTATCTCCGAGGGTGAAGGACAAAAAACAAAACATGGACTAAACCCAAGGACTCCTGGCGTTGGGCGAAGCGTATGCCGCCCAGCACGCGTTCGCATGTGAAAAAGAGATAACCAAAATTTGATGTGTACCAGACGAGGTCCTCGTCATCGGGCCAAGTGCACATAAGTGAGGCTAGCAGCATCAGTTCGGCCTCGTGCGCGAAATGCTGGTGGACTGGATGGACGGAGTCTCTGATGTTGTCCACGCGTCAACACCACCGACATGCCTTCCCGCAGCTTCTTGGCGCAGTCTCGGCCTCCGACCCCCTAGGGGACAAGCACGGAGGACACAAAAGTCCCAGACGAAGATGGCCACCTCTCCTTGCGGATCAGTATAGCCAGCCTGACACAGAGGCCGCTTAAGCCTTGAGTGATGCTAGGAAAAATAACTACACACACAAAAAGACTACATATACCCGTTCGAGATACACCCACAGCAGTCGAACGGGATGTGTTATTAATAGAGTATTTTCAGTGAGTGGAGGAAAACCGGCTGGGGACTGGACTTATTACTTGATATGCAATGAGAGGTGCCCATCTTCGTCAGGGACTTTCATGTCCTCCGTGTTTGTCCCCCAAGGGGTTGGAGGCCGAGACCGCGCCAAGAAGCTGCGGGAAGGCATACCGGTGGTGTTGAGCGGTGAGTGGTCGGTTCCGCAGGAGGCGTTGTTTAGCAAACACTACCCCTGAATCTACCACGGTAAAGGACAGGAGGGCCGTTCTCTGTCTCGCCAAGGCCAGCGAAAATGTCAACGACCAGCACAAACACCAGCAACAACAATCAGAGACAACAGCTCGAGGCAACAGCGCAAAGGTACCAGCATACAAACAAAAACAACCACCAACAAGCTCACCTGCGCTCCGGCGGCAGAGGCACTCGCAGCGGCGGCGGCGGCAGCGGCAACGGCAGCGGCAGCGTCATCGGCGCGCTTGCGCCTCTCTTCCTCAGCAGCAGCCGCGGCGGCTCGCTGCTTCTCCTCCTCCTCCGCCGCCGCCGCCTCCTCCTCCCGCTGCTTCTTTACGGCGGCGGCGGCGGCTTCGCGCTTCTTCTTCTTCTCGAGCTCCGCCGCCTTCTCCTTGTCCTTAGACTCCTGCAGCTTCTTCCTCTCGTCCTCTTTGGCGCGGCGCTCGGCTTCCTCGTCCTTTGCGGCTGCGGCAGTAGCGTTAGCAGACTCCTGCACCACGCCACACGGATACGAAGTCATTGACATGGGCCCAAGCGGCGACGACGTAAGCAGAGAGAAAAAGCGAGAGCGACAGAGACAGAGATAGAGACAGAGGCAGAGAGAGCGACTGGCAGAGAGACAGACAGAGAGACAGACAGAGAGACAGACAGAGAGAGAGAGAAAGAGCCCTGCGCTGTAGATACTGCTAGGGGATTAAGACAGGGAAAAGGGAGCAGGGAGCGGCCAGCCCACACAAAACCACAGAACACCTTCGTATGCAGATTCGAACCTACCAGATTTGATTGTTGATCGTTGGCACAAGGGTATGGGGAGAATGGGCAAGAGAGGAGCTGGTGGCAGCATGAACAAGAGAAGAACCTTCCTTGCTTCGCGTAGAAAAAAAGTCGCCGCACCATGTACACATAAAACATCGAAATGCACACATGCACACAACCCACGAAGCACAAAACCAACATGCAAAAAATGACCAAGGAAAACCTCAATCTTTGTTTGACGACAAATATGCTGAAACCCTGGCCAAAAAAACATGCACACAAGACATACTCACGGCCGAAACCCCGGGCCCTGCGATGGGGGCCACTGGGGGAATCATCATCTCGCTCGCCTGGAAGCCCTGCTGCACGCGCTTGAGCTGGGCCGTGGCTTCGATGAGGCGGGGGCGGCTGGGCTTCTTGCGGCAACTCACGCACGGTGTCTTCTTGGCGCAGCAAATCAAGCAATACTCCTTGTCGCAAAACTGAAAAATGGGTACGCGGGGGGTTTGGGGGAGCATGGTGTTGCGACGTTAGGCACACACCCGCTATACTTGTTTCCATCTCGCCTCTCTCTTGCTAACGCCACGACCCATCAACTCAGACGGTGAGCTACGTAGCTCAAGTTGCAGAGCGCTCGCCAAGTCCCGTCAAACATAAACCTTTGCTGGTTCCCACGTCTGCAAAGTGACAAACTCATCATCACCCAAGCCTTCCCGCGCGAGATCAAGCATCGCATCACACAGACCACTCCCGCACGACCCTCCCTCTGTGCTTCTCGGAGACTAGCATTTCTCTCGGATAAGCATCTTCGCAAGTCACCTAAAGCGTTGCATCACAAACCACTACTCGCTCACGACCCCCCCGCATCTCAAGCGAGCAAGGTCTCTCTCGCTCGTGTAAGCATACTGCACCTCGCAAGTGACGACGAAGTTTTCGCACGCCTTGCAGAAGACATCGCTGCACTCG